TACATTTTAAATTCAAATAAATTGCGTAACAAGGCTAAAATTGCAAAAAAAAAATCAGAAAAACGGTTGAACCTGAAGGCCATCCATGCAACTTCCCGCTAATTCCATACCTAGGGGCTTAAAATTGCACTTATGACGTTTTCGAGCTCTTTGAGCTCAAAAATACAATTTATGTGTTATTTTAAGCTCTCCGAGCTCAAAGAGATAGCTTTGTTATGCTTTTGAGCTCTTCGAGCTTAAAAGTCTTATCAAAATTCGACTAAACACGATTTTTCTAATTTTCAAATTGCTGTAACTTTTTAATTAATCAACCGATTTTAACGCGGTAGGCGGCGATCGATGTGGTTTTTTGAGCTCTATAAAAAGTTCTTAACAAAAAAATTGATCTCATAAAAAATTTCGGAGTTATTACAAAAAAACACTTTTTTCGATTTTTTTCGACAACGATATCTCACGAACGCTGTTAAAAGCTGATTAGTTTTTGAAGTTGATCGGTTAGCCAATTCGGAGATATTTCAAAAAAATGAAAAAAAAAAACAACTTTTTTTGTCACTTTTTTTGCAATTTCTCGAAATCTACTGGTCCGAATCGGTTCCAACTCACAGGAAATCTAAGTTTGGCAAAGCCTTTTTAAATGACACCAACCGCGATGAAACCGGTCAAGCCGTTCAAAAGTTACGAGAGGTTTACATACACACACCCATACACACAGACATACATACAGACGTACGGACATCATCGTGAAAATAGTCAGGAAAGCTTCCTAGGACCTCAAAACGTCAAGATCCGATGAAAACTCGATTTTCGAAAAACGGGGTCAAACCAATAACTTCCCGATTTTTGAAAATTTTCAATTTTCTTAGCGGGAAGTTAAGAGTCATAAACAATGTTCATAAAGTAGAAGATAGTATGCAAATGTAGTATTGCTCTTATTTACTTAAAGTTATTAATTAAATATCTTTTCATTCAGATTATACTACACCATCTGTAGATTGTGATTTAAATTGTGAAGAAATTGACCTTTATTGACTTTAAACTGTTCTTCATTTTTATCAAACTCTCTCGAAAATTTACTCTTTTAACTTCGCATCACTTATCTTGAAAAACTTATCTCGTAAGCACTGGAAGTCGAACTCAGAAATATGGTTTTACAGCTGTTTTTTGCTCTCCGAGCTTTATGATAGAACTGTTATACGTTTTTGATCTCTTTGAGTATATTCAAAAAACTTTTTTATGAATGTCCATAAACGGCAATAACTTCTATACTAATCAACTAAGTTTCTATCTGCTAGGCAGAATTTAGCGTGTTTAGGAGAGCTTTGTAGAAATTCTCAAAAAAAAAAAAAAGGGACCAGATGAAGAAATAAAATATTATTGTCATTTCGTGACATCATAAATATTCCAAAAAAAATTTCGAAGTTATTTAAAGAAATACACTTTTTTTGAAAATTTTTGACTATACCTTTTGAATGTATCAACCAATTTCAACCTAATTAGCGGCAGTTACGGGATATTATTGAAAAACTAAAGAATTTTATTACAAATAAACGATTAGACGATAAATTCAGGAGTTATCTGAAAAAAATTCGTTCATTGAAATTTATCGTCATTGATTTCTCTTCAACGCATCAACCGATCTTGGAGCAGTTCGTAGCAATCGAGGTCATTTTTCATGTTGAAGAGTTAATTAGAAATTGATCATTTTTACGAAAGTGTTCCAAAAACAGATGAAGAAAAACGAAGTGAAATCATCGAGATGGCTGCTAATATTATTCGCGACGATATCAGGATGACTCCCTATGAACCAGACATTTATCCCAGTGAAGAAGATTTTATAAAACAAGCAGAAAAAGATACTCCGAAATCTTTAAAATTACTGTTATCAACCATTATTGGAGATAAAAATAACGATAATAATTCAATTGAGAAGAAAGTCCTAGGCATAGCTCACACTATTATGGCTGCAATAAAACCGCGTTCATTTATTTCAACTTTATTACTCAGTTTGTCAGTTCACATTCACCGTAAATATGAATCTAAAGATCTCATACGTATTTTATCTCGGCTTGGATTCGCAAGTAGCTATGAAGAAACGTTGCGCTATGAAGCTTCATGCACTGCGGCGAAAAATAATTTTATAGCAGCTCACGAAGAGGGTTTTATTCAATTTGCTTTTGATAACGTTGATTTTAAAAACGACACTTTAGATGGGAAAAATTCATGTCATATCACTGGTGGAATCGCAATTGGTACACCAAGTTCGTCGATCCCTCTAAGTACCATCATACCAAGATTAAAAACAATTCCAAAATCTCAAGAATTAGCACTGAGTGGTCACATAAAAACAGAATTTTTCCACAGAAGCACAACACAAAGTTGGAAAAATATACCAATAGAAGATATTTTAACACTGCGATCTAATTCTGACCGAAGAGTATTATTATCAGCTTCTGACGTGACTTGGATGTGTGGAAAGTGGTTGAAGATTCCAAATTTTCCAGGGTGGAATGGTTTTTTCGAAATACACACAAAAAATTCGGATCATGACCAGTCTAAAATCATTTTTTTGCCTTTCATTAATTTAAAAGCTGACTCGTATGATGCTTTAAATACAGCATTAAAATTTGCTAGTCGAGAAGGCGCAAAGGTAAAACAAAACACAGTTTTTGTGACTTTTGACCAACCATTATACATAAAGTCGCGTGACATTATTGCAAGTAATGCAAACGATCACATGTAATTGCTGACTCAAAATCTAACTTTTCCCCAAAACTCCTTCTTGAACACCGGATAAGTTACACAGAAATTCTGATAAAGCACCAACAGAATTCTCACTGTTATAAAGCGAAAAAGTAATCGATATATGATAATGATAAATCATCCTAAAAATTAGACACTAAAAATTTTTCATTCAGATTTCTGTTTATTATTCATCGGAATTCAAGCGGCAATTTAAGTAAATTTAGGAGTTTTTCTGTTTTATTGATTAATACCGACAACCTAAAATTCTTTCAATACCGGATAAATTCTGAAGTGAATCTGATAGAACTCTAACGGAATTTCCGCTAAAATCTTGCTGAAAAGTACATATACGTTCATTATTCTCAGAGGTAGATAATGAAAATTTTAGATTCAGATTCTCGGCAATAATTCATCGGAATTCAAGCAGTCTTTAAATAAAATTAGCAGATATTTAATTTATACGATGCCTTATAATTTGTCTTGAAGCCCTGAATAAATTCGAGAGGATTTTTATAAAGCTCCGGTAAAATTTCTGCTGATATCATGACGAAAAATACAGAAATATTCAAGAAAATATTTATAAAAGTTGACAAAAATTTTTGATACAGATTCTGGCCAATTATTCATCAGAATTTAAGTGGTCATTAAAGTAAATTTAGCAGGTTGTTAGTTTCATTAATTAGTACCGATGCCCTAAAACTTCTCCTCGAACAGTGAATAAATTCCGGAGGAATTCTTATAAAGTTACGGCGGAATTTTTGCTTACGTTCGGCAGAAAAGTACATATATATTTGATGAATTATCCTGAATACTAGACAATACAAATTTTTAATTCAGTTTTCCGCTACTTTTTCTTCAGAATTCAAGCGGTCTTTGCAAAAAATGAGCTTACCATATATAATTAATTTCGATCTCCTTACATTTCTTCTTGAACACAGGATCAATTTCGGAAGAATTCTTATAAAGCTCCGGCGGAAATTCCGCTGATATCAAACGGAAAAGTTTATGAATATTTAACGAATTAACCTGAAAAGTAGATAGTACCAATTTTTAATTCAGCTTCTGGCTAATTATTTATCGGAATTTAAGCGGACTTAAAAATAAATTTACAAGCTTTTTAATTCTATAAAATAACAGCGATGCGCTAAAATATCTTCATGACCATCGAATAAATATTGATATTAATCCATGAAATTTTTAAGACCTAGTTGATAATATTTAGTTAAAGTTTTAAGCCATATTAGGTCAAGGACTAGTAGATGTTTTTTATTCAAGCCTAAAGATGGATGGTCCATCTTCCCTTTTGTTCGAGAGCTATATTCTCTCTTCCCATTAGTTCGATGGGTATCCATCGAACTTGAATACTAGTAAAGCTAGAAGCTTGTAGTATCTGTTCGAGTTATGTAGATGTTCATTAAGTGAAAGATAGTGGAAGAAAAATTTTTTAATAAGAGTAAAGACAGACTGAAAAAATAATTGGCGTTGGTTTCCAAGCCAGAAATCGAACCTGGATCTCCCTGATAACATGTCAGGAGCTCTACCAGTTAAGCTACCGGGTCCCCTTCCACAATCACCTTCACAGTCCTCTTTTATACTCCTCTCCTATACTTAAGGGAAGATGGACCATCTATCTTTGGGCTTGAATAAGAAACATCTACTAGTCCTTGACCTAATATGGCTTAAAACTTTAACTAAATATTATCAACTAGGTCTTAAAAATTTCATGAATTAATTTATCAATAGCCGAATAATTACTACATTACCATCGTAGTACGTAGTTTGGGTAAAAATGGAAGGGAGGGTTAGTAAGTATTGAGAGTATAAGAGAGGACTGTGAAAGGTGATTGTGGAAGGGGACCCGGTAGCTTAACTGGTAGAGCTCCTGACATGTTATCAGGGAGATCCAGGTTCGATTCCTGGCTTGGACACCAACCCCAATTATTTTTTCAGTCTGTCTTTACTCTTATTAAAAAATTTTTCTTCCACTATCTTTCACTTAATGAACATCTACATAACTCGAACAGATACCACAATCTTCTAGCTTTACTAGTATTCAAGTTCGATGGATACCCATCGAACTAATGGGAAGAGAGAATATAGCTCTCGAACAAAAGGGAAGATGGACCATTCATCTTTGGGCTTAAATAAGAAACATCTACTAGTCCTTGACCTAATATGGCTTAAAACTTTAACTAAATTAATATTAATCTTTACAACAATAGAGATTGGAATTAGAAGTTTTACAATAATCTTTATTATTATATATGTCTATCGACAACTAGCTTATATTATACAAAATTTAAATTATTGTTCAATTAATATAAACGTAGTCAATTTCAGTTATGTTAACAGGCTTAATTACATAAAACGTATTAATGTTATCTTCACAGTCTTTTTCAATCATAAAACACACAGTTACTATCTGTTCAATATCGATTATACAAAAATCATCTTCAGATTCAATGCACAGGTTCATCATATTCTCAATTTCACTATTTGCAAAGATAGTTTCAATCGATTGACATTTTTTTATAACCGCATAGAAATGAGTACCTACGCAATTTACGTTACAGTTAGTTCCGTTGACACAGTAACAAATTTTGACAAACTTCGTTATTTTTCCGATACATTCTCTTTGATTGTCGCGATAAATTACTACAGAAGAATTCGTCTTTCTCTCTCGCTCATATTGTTCCGAATCGTACACCATGCTATGTCTATATATCCGCGGAAACGTATACACATTTATTGTTTCTTGTAAACACATATTTGCTTTTCTCATCAAATAAGTCACTAAGGGAATCAACTCATTAGCCTTTTTAAGGTTTCCAAAAATAAAACACTTGTCGAAAATTGGTATTAGTTTTCGTTTTCTCATAGAAAAAAATTCCATCTTTTTACAATATTTAACTACTTCTTCATTTTCGTGCAGAGTTTCTGATTTTATCAGGACGATATTGTTAAAAATTGACACAGCAGAGCAAACTTGTAATTGAGCATACCGTGTTCCTTTAATTAAGCAGTCAATAGTTCCATTAAGATCTTCATATGCAAAGCAAGAAGTGTACGGTAAGGGACCAAAGTTACGTACTGAATCAGGAAGATGCAACAAACAATGAAGGTTCCAAGTCATATGAACTAATCCGTACAATTTTTCGAAACATAAAACATACATTTTTATCGATGTTGATGCAATCGAAATCATTTTTTTACTGATAGATGTATAAGTCAAGTAACTGCCCTGATTAAAAATATTGATTGAAAAATATTGGGAATCAGTCACCCCATGTAAACGGTATATCTATATGTACATGAAAAAGAATTGAAAGTATTCAAAAATATTCAAATTTGATCATTTTTAATCCTTTTCAACCAATATTTTTAACCAGGGTGATAGCAAGTACCAAATGTTTATGATGTTGTAGATATTGTTCGTTCATAATCGAGGACAAAAGTGGAGTTGAATAATACAATAACCATAATTTCCACTCAGATGCCTTCCAGTATTTATAATCGAAGATAGATCTCGTTAATCTTGGTACAAATGCCGGCGGAAAAATAGAATTAATTTTCTTATTTATCCATTCTCGATGTTCATAAAGTGAAAACTTACAATTTCTATATTGCGGATCAAACCATAGACTAAACAATTTTCTTGCAATTCCTAAATATATGCAATGCATAGAGTCTACGACGGTAGTTTTATAAACATCATAAACTAATTGAGAAAGGACTGTAGGACCTTTAATTCCGTTAACAGCGTTGCCAGTAAAGAAAGCTTTTTTACTTTCGCTCACTGACTCAGGTGTAGTACGAAGTTTCAATTTTTGTTGAAAAGAGTAAACACGTCTTCGATTTAAGTTTTTACTTTTGATTTTACAGTGACAACATCCAAACACTCCTCGATGTCCCTTCATGTTTAGAAAGCTAGCCTTAGCTGGAAGATCACACGTGCCACTAAGGATCATACCTCTAACCTTTACCCGTGAATTTAAGTCAGTTACTTTACACCAAAAGCCTTTAAATATTTTCGAAACATCATCTCGAAAGCTGTCTAAGAATAAATTTGGTTGTGGCTTTTCACCAAACCAAAGCCCAGCTAATAATACATTTTCTTTTTTGGTACATTGGTTGAATGGAAGTTCATTGATTGTTAAATAAAATGGCCAAAGACTGAATTTCGAAGACTTAAAGAGAGCAACTCCATCAGTGTTCCAAGTGAATGAGATATTAAAAGGAGAAGATAAAATTCCATTGTGAAAAAAGACTGATAAACATCCCCGTCCCAGATCTCTTCCAAATTATTGGGCTTAACTTTTTGCCTATTAAATCGGCTTTGCAATAAATTATAAAAATTAGGACGGCGGAAAAGATTAAATAGTTGCGGTAACAAAGGAAGTTGAATAAAATTACTATCTTCATTCTTCTTTTTACATTTTGAACAAGTACTTTTTTCACTCTTTGCCTTCGAAAAACAAACTGAACAGAAGAAATGTCGTGTGAGAGGTGTTTGAATTTTTTTAAAGAATTTTTTGAAATAATATAGAGTTTTGAGTAAAAAATTTGGTTTGATACAATGTACACAGATAAGAGATAACAAATCTGCCAAAAGAACCTTCGTTACTTTATGACGAATTATAAATGTTAGAATGCATAGTACACTTTCACCCAAAGTCAGAGGAGCATTTTCATAGATTGGATCATTCAAATGTTCAGTGTCGAAAATAGGTTCAGTCTCATCGTCGTCAGACAAACTGCTCTCGGAATCACTTTCAGAAGATTGACTATCTTCTGAGTTGTTATCTCACTCACTGGCTTCACCTTCAAATGAGCTGTCACTTTCAAAAGAACTGTCACTTTCAAAAGAACTGTCATCGCTACTATTATTTCGAGAATTTTTATTATCAGCAGCAGAAGCATCGCAATTACAGTCAAAAACATAATTATTGCTTACGTCATTGACTTCATCATAATCAACATTATTACTCGGACACTTTTCTGCATTACCAAAATCTTCGTTTTCAGAATCAGAGGAAGACTCGTTTTCAGAGCCATAAGGGTTATCAGATTTTAGGCTTATAGAGTCATCAGAATTTTCAGAGTATTGGCTTGTCGAATCATCAAAACTGCTGTAATGTTCAGAAACATCATCTGAAAAATTTTTAAGAATGGTAAAATCAATTTTACGGTTCACGTTTAGGAAATGGTTATCCTAAGATTGTAAAAAATATCCTAGACAAGCTAGCATAGAAATTGGCAGTAGTTCTATGGAAGTAACAAATACTTAATGTTTCCTGATGGCTCATTTTATTTAACCAACAATGAGTTGATCGAAAAAGAAAGTTAACGTACTACTCGCGAAAATTAATTTGTTTGAAAATTTTTTCCGGTCTTTTTTTCAGTCCATAAAGTCAAAAATAATTTTTTTCGAATGGGCCACCATATGGACTAAATAATCCGTTTATCTATCTTTAATTTGAGTTTGGACGATTTCCTCTACGTCAATTTGTATCAAGGATTTCCACTTTTAAATGAAAGAAGATTCTTTAGTCCTTAACTAACGATATCTTAGCAATTAATGATAATACAGTTAATTCACGAATATTTTCGAAAACGAGAATATATTTCTGAGGATATCTTGTCAGCACCTTTGAGAAAAAAAATTTCTTTTACTTTCTTAACATCAATTTGAAAAGAATGAAAAAAATGCAATAGCTTTTATCCTAAAGAGTTTTTCAGCTCAATGTACCCCTTAGCTTTGTAAAATTTAAGATCGATTCATTTGACAGTTTTTCCGGACCAATTGATCAATATTTTGAAAGAATTAAGACAACAAAATTTTATATTTTTATCAGACACACTTTTTTTTAGTTTTTTTTTTTGGCCATCGTCATTTTTCATCAATTTAAAGTTACAAATCAAAAGAGAAAATAATTTTTAGCTATTTCTAAAAACAAAAAAAATGCTTATTTTAAAAAGTAAATTCTGCTTTCTTAGCTTTTTCCTTTATTTTAATTAATTTTACAGGACTATTAGAAATACATTGAGGTGTAAAACTTCTCGACTACGTACACTGTCCCATCAAAATTAGTAAAGACACGATTTATTTACGGAATAAAAGAAAATTCTTTTCAGTACTTTTCAAATTGTAGTTGACGGTAAAAAAAAAAAATTTTATTCCTCAAAGATGTTAATAGGGTCTTTTAGGAAATTTATTTCTGTTATTGAAACCGTTCGTGAATTTACTTTACACTAATTGGTTGCTGAGATATCCTTAGTTAAAGATAAAAGGATCCTTTATCATTCAAATTTTGATATCTCCGCGACAAATTAACGTATAGAGAAAATAAATTAATCTCAAATTAAAGCTGGATAAACAGGTTATGAATCTGGAATGGTAACTTATTTTTTAAAAAATTTCTCCAGTTGATAGACTGAAAAAAAAGGATATATTAAAAAAAAATTATTTTGGGGATATTTCTTAGAAGTGTATTAAAATTGTTACTCGAAAAATATTTTGACTAAAAAGTATAGAAACTAGATCGAAGAGCTTAAAAAAACTTTTTTAAAACCCCCGCATGATCTTCTTTCATTGAGATACAGCGCGTCAAAAATCACTGAACATTAGAACGTTTGATCCCTCGGCCTGTAAGTTCTCAGAGCAAAAGATCCGCTATTTTTTTTTCTTTTTTTTCAAGTGTTAATATAATTTCAAGCTCATTTCGAGATAAAGACATGCCATGAATATATATTATATATATGAACTCCACCGAAAATACTAAGCCCTAAAATCGAAATTAATGTATGGAATATAATAGAGAATAGGAATGCATCTAGTCAAGAAAGAAATTTCCTTAGCGTGTACTGTAGCAATTGGCTGTCGCTTCTGTTATTATAAAATCTACCTATCACATTAACGATTTGTGATTTCAGTGTTATTGCTTTTATGTTATTTAATCATTATTTACCTGTAGATGAATTAGATTCACTTATTGTTGCTGTATCATAATATTTTTTAAGTATTCGGTGTTTGTTGATCTCGCTAAATCCGAAAATTCTTTCATCTCTTTCTATTTTGTCAAGTTTCTTTTTAGCTCGGATTAGTTTGACATCCGTAATTATAATTATTATTAAGCTTGCTTATTCGACTGTCTTTTTTGAGTTTTTTTTTTATTACTGATCCTCATTTATTTGTTATTGATACACTTTTGCGCTTGACACATTTAAGCGTAAATCTTGAAAATGTCGCAAAAACATTTTTCATTAGTTTATTGGGAAACTTTGAAATGCAGTTCGGTAATAGAAACCGAAAGTATTAAAAATTCAAGAAAAAATGGCTTAATTGCGAAACAAAATAATAAAAATTGTTCGGTCAAAATACTGCTGCAACATGGTAAGTACTTCATTCTGTACTTTTGAATAAACTACACATTTGATGTTAAATAATCATTAATTTCATTAATTTTAATGTAAATTTCTCTACAAAGATGATATGGCATATTTGAAGAAATGCTCTGTCGATGAAAATGGAAATTTAATCAATGAATGTACTAATGGAGAGTTGGATAATAATAAACCTGAAAGAAAAGGAAGCGACGAGGCAAAAAAGAAAATATTGAATCTACCATTGATGTAGCAATTGTGGATAAGCCATCTATCTTCGACGGCGTCCCCGAAACTGAAAATTTTAATCGAGGTACATTGCCATTTTATGCTTTTTTCATTTTACGAGTAGGTATTGAAAGTCATAAGAGCTTATATAAATTTATTTAAGTCTTTAAAAAATTCTCTTCGTCACTTTTATGTTTCAAGATCATTTTTATAGTCAACTTTCAAGAAATAACTTTTTCTATTTCTGTTTAGTTTTAAATTTTATTGGTATATACTTTTTTCACCATATATAGCATAATATTGTCAAAATCAAGCCAGTTGTCTCAAACGTATAAATTATTTTTTATTGTTATTTATTATTTTAAAACTTGTTATGAAAATTTACAGTGATATTCGCACGATTATTAAATTTTTCTCGATTTTTTCACTGGATTAATTGCTTAATCTATTTCATTATTTTATTAGATATTGCTGACCCAGCTACATCATCAAAGATCGAAATTCATAATCACGAAAACACTAGTGATTCGATAAGGCTGTTTGATTCATCTGCAAATGAATTAATAAAAAATTAGAAAAACGGTTCACCCTAAAGGCCATCCGTGCAACTTCCCGCTAATTCCATTCCTGGGCGCTTAAAATTGAACTTATGACATTTTTGAGATTTTTGAGCTCAAAATATAATTTATGTGATATTTTGAGCTCGCTGAGTTCAAAGAAATAATATTTCTATGCATTTGAGCTCTCCCAGCTCAAAAGTCTGATAGAAGTTTCATAGAACACTATTTTTGGAATTTTTAAACCGCAATAACTTTTGAATGGATCAACTAATTTTCACGCGGTTGACGCCATTCAACGCAGTTTTATCATCCTCATAAGTTATTTTCAGGTTTTAATTGATCGAAAATTTCGGAGTAATCCCGAAAAAACACTTTTTTTAGTTTTCTTTCGTTCACGATATCTCTCGAACGAATCAACCGATTTTGACCAGCTTGGTGGCAATCGACGTGGTTTTATGGTGTTAAGAGCTGATTAGTTTTTGGAATCGATCGGTAGAGCTGTTTGAAAGTTATTCCAAAAAATGTCGGAGTTTTGTTGAAAAAATCCTTATTTCCAAATATTTCGTCGAGGATATCTCTTGAACTAATCAACCGATTTTCACGTTTTTGGCGGCGATCGACGCGGTTTTTTAAGCTCTGAAATTATTCTATATAATCAAAAACGATCCGAGAAGAAATGACAAAGTTATGTGAAAAAACACTTTTTTCGGTTTTTTTCGGTTTTCTTTCGTTCACGCTATCTCTCGAACGAGTTATTTGGTGAGACTTTCGTCTGCCTCCTTTCGAACAGGCCGTTTCCTGGGCTTTAAAAAGCTATACACGCACGTAAAATAAAACCCAAATCTCACCAAACAAAAGCACCGTCAACTCGCCGAGCAAGGAAAAACCCTGCCCTCCAGCTTTTACGCTATCACTGGACAGATGTGAATTGAGTTGAATTTAATGTCAATCTGTCCTCGTAATCAGTCAACTGTTTCAACCCCATTCAACGACTACGTTGGCCTGATCGGTAAAATATAATGACAACCCGACCAGTTACCAGCAGGGCCCATGCGAGGAGGTGTAGCCGTAAGACCTGTATGAGCCATTCCCCCTTTCAAAAGTCTCGTTCGTGTTTCTGTCTAATCTAGTCCCCGAATCTTTGAGCTTACCTGCGTTGCCAAAGAATTGACAACGACTCGAGGCCTCTCTCTTGGGTTCTGTTTTCGCAAAGGTAGCTAGGTTGGTTTCAGTAACATGGCTGTACCACGCGACCTACTCACGATAGGACCGACGAGGAGGGTCCTACTTGCTTAACTGTGGTGATCCCCAAAAGTTTTTAACGGGTTGCTTACGCAATGCGCGAAAAATTCAGAGATCTCTCTTTTTACGCGGCTCGCTATTACCATAAGAGCCACAGTCACTCCTGCCTATCTCTCGAACGAGTTATTTGGTGAGACTTTCGTCTGCCTCCTTTCAAACAGGCCGTTTCCTGCGCTTTAAAAAGCTATACACGCACGTAAAATAAAACCCAAATCTCACCAAAACAAAAGCAC